AAGAATTCCCATCTCACTTCATTCAACATGCATTATACGATAAAATGACTTCAACAAATTTCGAGAGAAAAAAAATTTGAGAGAGAGAAATTGGGGCAGAGGCTTTACCACAAACGAAAGAGAGAGAGAGAATGGTTTCCCCAACCGAGAAAAAAACTGAGAGTAGTTGGGGCAGCTTCCCCCAACCCACATAGAGAGAGAGAGAGGGAGAAAGAAGTTGGGGAAGCATGCCCCAACAGAGAGAGAGCGAGAGAGAGGGGGAGAGGGCGTGAGAGAGAGAGAACCTGCCACCTGTGAGAGAGAGAGGGAGGGAGAGCGCGTGAAAGAGAGAGAACCTGCTACCTGAGAGAGAGAGAGAGGCTGTAATTTCCGGCAAGGGTGGGGGTGTTATGGACCCTCTCTCAAACCAAAAACTCTCCAACACAATAATGTAGATTCCATGGATGGGGTTCTTATGGACCCTCTCTCAAACAAAAAATCTCCAACACAATAATGGAGATTCCATGGATAACCATAACATATATAAAAGCTCCAATGGAGCTCCATGGACCTGAAAAGGCCTGCAAAATCAAAGATACGGGTGTACAAAAGCCATGGATCAGGCTTTGAAAAAGCCTTTTCTGAATAGGGAAACAAAAGGTTGAGTTAGTGAACAAATCGTTGAGTTGTCACTACTCACCCTAGTGTTATACAAATCGGCTGAGTTGTACAGAAACTCGGCCGAGTAGTGCAGTGGGGGAGAATCCCCTAAGGGGAGGACCATGAACTCAAGACCACTTAAGTTTGGCTACTGCCCGAGCTTAAGTTATTTGGTCGAGTCAAAAAAAACAAAAAAATCGGCCGAGTTTTCAAATACTGGTATTACCGAACCAGAGAAAAAAAACCTTGAATTGATTATTTTTTTATGAAATTTTTAAACTGTATCATAAAACTAAGAGAAATTTATCAAAAATCACCTAACTTATCAAGTACTTAACATCTTACCATTTTTAACTGCTCCAACTCACGATCATGGTATTTCGATGGCTTCTTAAAATTAAATCAAGGGTAAAATACTAAACAGTTCATCTCTGATGTGCAATTGATGCCGTGTTCCTCACTACGAGGAACATGCGAGATCAGACAGCAAGGTGTAGTGTCCTCCTCTCTCTGCTTGCAATTTTGAAGATGAAATTCTCAAGGACATCCTGAGCATCTTAGGCCAAATCTCGCACTGCTCGAACCCAAGTCTCTAATGCTTCATTTTCCTCTCGTTTTTGTCAGCATTCGTGAAGAAAACTTTCATGCATTCGAGCATCCTTGATCCACTGGATATCATCTTCCAGACTTAAACTGTTGAAAGAAGCTTTACTTTATCTAAGCAATTTATCTAATTTTTGCAGCAAAAAATGATACAACAGAATCAGCCATCTCTGTCTCTCTCTCTCTCTCGAAACATCATCTATATACAATTCGTCTAATTTTTTTTGCAGTAAAAATGATACAATAGCTATCTCTCTCTCTAAACAGCTATGTCGCACATTGCATTCGTTGAATTCTAATAGTACATACTAATCAAATGGAACATAAAAGTACGAATGCCAGCATTTAAACAAGTCGCACTTGCACAATTTCCAATTGCTAAAACTAATGGAAAATTGTTTCATGCGGGCTGGATCGCATGACTACATATACGGTCCAACCAAAAAGTTTAAACCATCCATTTGAAAAATGAATGCAAGTAGGTATTCTATCTAAAAACAATCGAGATTATCGGTCCAATTTTTTTATTACTAGAATTATTATATCTAGTTTTAATATATATATAAAAGATTATATGTCCTAAAAATTTAAGTAAAAAAATCATCTCAAAAATAGATTTATTAATAACCTAGGCCGCATAACAACCGGATCCCAAAAACAAAAATCGACGTTAAGGAGTTCCAGCTATGGGTTTAGTTGACTTTGCAGGTAAACAATACCAAAATTTATGAATGGCCATCATTCATTTTCTATATGGGAATCCCCTTCCTAAGCCTTTCCTCTTGTCTTTCATCTAACACCTCCATAATACTTACCTATTCCCTTGATTTGATTGATAATGTTGAAAATTTTAATAGATGGTCACCATTTATCTTTTGTATATAAAAGTCATAATTTTTTTTGTCTATTAAATTTCAAAATGGGTGGTTTTAAGAATATCAATGAATAAACACAAAGATCCAAAAAAAATTCTCGACTCACCCCAAGCCATCGAATTTGACATCTAATGAGTGAGAATGATTGTGACTTCCATGTACAAAAGATAAAAGAAAATTTTTGTATAAGGTTATAACGTTAAAATGTAGAACTACAGATGTACCTCAAAAATCCATCGGAAAGCATTATTTTAATGTTGAAAATTCTCTAATTAATCATCCCGACATTGAGATATCTGAATTTAAAAAAAAAAGATTTTAGGTCTCATAAATAGTGTATCTTGCAACACATTACCTAGACCGTCCATTTTCAAGAGTTTCATATGTTTATAAATCTACTTGATTTTAACCATTTTTGGAATTTAAAATTTTACAGTTAGATATGAAAATATATTTTGATATAATCCTAATAATGTTTTATACCAAAATTACTTGTTATGATAAAATTTTGAGGTGCACTGTAGTTGGATTGTTTAAGGTTTCAACTTTATAGAAACCACACCCAAAGATAAATGATCTCTTTGTAGACAACCCAAAGTTTAAATGCAGAGAGTTTGTCCAAGGTGTTGATTTAGTATTATGGGAATGAGGAGTAGCTAAAAACCTCATTAGAAAATGGTGTTTCAACATTGGAAAACACTCCAATTGATCATCTCGATCTTGAGCTGTTGGTTATGAAAAAAGTTTTCAAATCTTAAAAAATATTACATCTTGGAACATATTGTCTAGACTGTCCATTTTCAATTTTTTTTTGTGTTTATAGATCCGCTAAATCTGAACCATTTTTTGTGCTTTAAATTTTATAATTAAGGGTAAAAACATATTTTGAGGTCACAATAAAAGTTTTTGGCGTTGCATTTTCTAACATGTTTGAAGTTGTGCATTATTCTGATTGTTTAATATAAGCGCCTTATACAAACATAATCCTTTTAACATTCATTAATAGATTCAAATCTTCTTGTCCCAAAAGTATGTGGTCTTATTTTATAGAGTGATTTACATACAGATCCCATATTTTTTTTAAACATACGAAATAATCGGTTTATAAGCAGAAATTATAAAGAATGTTGGACAACCTGCCTTTTTATTTTTATTTTTAAATTGCCCTTTGGTCTGAGGATAGAATCCTTGGTCTAAATTTTCAATTTCTTTTTTTTTTTTTTCTAGTTTTTTCGTTAGTAAGACAATGGTTCAAACTTTAGAGTGGTGCCCTACTAACGAAAAAAACTTTAAAAAAAAAATTAAAATTTGGTTCGAAGATGTTCTCGTAGGCAATTTTGAAAAATAAAAAAATGTAGGTTGACCTTCTTTGTAATTTCCATATTTATATATGGAGCATTTCATATTTTAGAAAAAATTCTAAGATCTGTATGTAAATTACTATGTTCTATAATCTCTATTTAATTACCATTACTGGAGAATGAAACATTTCTTAGTGGTTTAGGGAAAATGATAACAAGATATTCCCCATAGTTTAAGACATCCACCTGTTCTTTCAAAAACTTCGACATTATTTAACATGATTCCATCGTCTAGCATCTTGAGGATCAAATGGCTCCAAAATATAATGTTTTGGCAAGTGGGTTCATACGCTAATTTTAAAGATCAGAGACAGCTCAATAATTTCTTAGAAATGGCCTAGATTAGCATTAACATTGACTTCGACATGATTGTCCCGGCTTGATGTTGGCAACAAAATTTTTTTTATCAAGTATTAATATTTTACTTCTTTTTAACTAGTTTTATAGATAGTCCACTCACCGATCCTGGCTGGATCACATATCGCCGATCAAGATCAGTTTGGATGGACAATTCAAGAAATTTTTTAAAAATATAGAAATTTGAAAAAAACTTAAAAGAAATAATGAGAAAAGTTTAATATTGAAATATGCACTCTCTCTCTCAAGTAGATATATAAACACATGAAAATCTTGAAAATGGACAGTCTAGATAATGTGTTGCAAGATGCACTATTTTTTTGACTTAATTTTTTATTTTTTTTTATATTCATACATTTCGATGTCGAGATGATCATTAAAGGGTTTTTTAACCTTAAAACAATCTTTTTCGATGGATTTTTAAAGTGCATATTTAATTCTACATTTTAAGGTTGGAACTCTATATAAACTTTTTTCATTTTTTTTGCCCAAACTAAAGACCACTACCTCATTGATTACGTTTGGCTCAGTTTTAACCAACGTTATAAAATACATTTAAAAAAAAAAAAAAACACTGATCTTGATTGGGAATCGGCAATTGCATAGGATCCGTGACAAACCAACCCCATTTTTATATCTAAACTAGGAATAGGTCTGACAAGGAGGGACTCACCCTCTTATTAGAGAATCTGGCGATCAACTGGATCGCCGTGTTCCCACCCAACTCCCATTTTTTATTTTTATATATTTTAATATTTAGTTTAAAATATAGAAATAATATTTCAATATTATCTAGATTGGCCAGAAGAAGCAATAGTCTGAATTGGCCTAGTAATCAGCCGATTCATGGGGCCTAACCAGATTTAAGAAGACTGAATTTAACTCTAGTTTATTGAAATTGAACATTTCTACCAAGCTTAGATATGGAAAAAAAAATCAAAATTATAAACTTTAATTTTTAGCAATGCTGGCTTAATACTAGAACAAAAACTATGTCCTAAAAACTAGTTGGTCTGTGAATAAAACTAAAAACATATAATCTATTGTGAGACCAGAATTTTAAAGGAAAATGTGCATGAACCAGTATCCTTGAGTTTGAAGGCCATGGCTCTCAACTTTTTACAGGACATCATAAAACCATTTCCCATCATTTTTGTTGTGAACTTTAATAAGGGGGCCAATCCCTCTTTGCCCGACTCACAAACTCATCGGACATAAGAAAGAGATTCAATTGTTGAAGGGTGGTGAAGTATTGGAAGCCTTGAGGCAACCGCCTCAATTTTCTGCAATTCCAAACAAATAATCGGCGTAGGCATGGCATGGCTCCCTCCTCCACGTTTCCCCATTTTCTGAGTTCATTCAAATTATAGAGATTGAGCCATTGAAGTTTGGGGAAGCCCCTTGCTCTGCATTTGCCTAATTTCTTACCCACATAGGATGCTCCATTTAAATTGAGGTACATGAGATTGGGTAATGTTTGAAGGATCGCAAATGGGTCTTCAGTTAGTTTGCAGTAGGCCAAGTCTAATCCATTGAGGCAGAGGAGAGAAGCAGTGCATTTGGGTAGTTTGCCCCCTGTTAGATGCCCAATGAGAGCTAACCTTTCTAGAGCAGTTGGAGGTAAGTTTTCAGTATGTAAAGGAGTTGTATCAACTTCCGTGGATGCTAGCGATAAGTGACAGAGTGCATCCATCTTTTAGATGGATGCACACAATTCTTCTCCATTTTCACTTCTCTCTAACTGAATATATAATTTTCGGATATGTATAAGGTTACGCAAGTCTTTAATAATATTTGAATCAGCTTGTATGTATGTCAAGGTTTGGAGGTTTGTTCAATCCCCCAGTCCGTTTGGAAATCTCAGCCCTTTGGGAATTCCTTCAACAGAAAATTGTGATACATTTAGATATGTCAAAGCTTTTAATTTTGTGATTCCATGTGATAGTTCTCCCTCAAATCCCTCCAAGTCAAGGGTTTGCAAGCTTCTCAAGTTCTCCAAGGACTTGGGGAGCTTCTTGACCCCTGTATCTCTTAGTCCAAGATACCTTAGATGAACCAAGTGTCCCACTTCATTTGACAGACTCTCAACATGAATCCCTTTTAGGTTCAAAACCCTCAAATATCTTAAGTAAGATAATAATTGAGGCAAATATGATGGTGACCACTCTACTGCACCAAACATAAGAAATGTTCGAAGTCGAGACAATTTGTTTTCAATAGGGAAACTTGAAGCATTTTGGACAGAGATGAGTCGAGTTCTATCAGAAAATTGGTTGTTTTGGCCATCACAAAATGTTCCAAAAATCTCTTTTTCTGATATAGAAAGACCAAGCTTCCGTATTACATGGTGTACTCGAATTACTTTGGCCTGCCCAGTGAAGCCAGTCTTTGCCACTTGTATCAAGCTCCGATCCAACAACTCTTTAATGTAATCCTTTGCTACTTCTATCTCTGTTAATCCTCCCCTTCTTTTAATGAATCCCTCTGCAACCCATAGCCTAATCAATTTTGAGCGGGAGATCTTATAGTCTTCTGAGAACAAACAATAATACAAAAAACAATATTTTTAAAGAGGCGACAAGTCCCTATAACTCAGTGTAAGAACACCCCTCACACCTTTATTCTTGTTCAACTCCCACGCAAGACTACGGCGTATCTTTTCCCAGCTATGCATTGTTTTGGGTGTTTTAGACATCGTGCTTCCTATTGCAACAATTGTGAGGGGGAGACCATCACATTCCTCGACAATAAGCCTCCCTACCTCCTCTAACTCTGAAGGGCATGAGTTTGTGTTTTCCCGCCAAAACACGTTCTTGCAGAAGAGGGACCATGCCTCTTCTTTCGATAGCCGTTCGAGCTGGTATACTGCACTTAGTACATACATTGGTGAAGTGACTTCTGCCATTCGAGTTGTAATGATAAATCTGCTTCCATTGTGTAAATCAGGAAATGCATTTTCCACCCCTTCCCACAAAATTTCACTCCACACATCATCTAACACTACCAGATACCTCTTGTCATGTAAATACTCAATATCTTTTGTTCCAGATGTCTCTCCTCTATGATGTCTACATGATTTTCATCAAATTCTTTTAAAATGAGATTCAAAATATGAATTTTGCTAAAGGACTGCGAGACAGTGACCCAAGCACGACAAACAAAGTGTTGCTTAACAATCTTTTCTTCATAAATTATTTTGGCAAGAGTAGTTTTCCCTAATCCACCCATACCTAAGAGATTACCTTGAGTTGTGGCTTGGCGTCCGGTAACCATCCTTCGACTAGTTTGACTTCTCTTTGATTCCTACAATGTCTGCATCTCCAGCAAAGAGGAAATCACTTGTGGATATGCCCTTCTCGCAATTAAGGCATCTGAAGAGCTCCCTCCATCTCCTTCCATTTGAAGGTTGAGCCTTTCCTTCCTCTTGGCAATATCATCAGCACGAGCTCTAATACGCTTTATCTTAGTTGCAACCTCATGCTTGATGTATTGCTCCTTGATAAAAGAAGCAGGTGACATCAGACGGCGTATGAATTCCCTCCGTTGTAATCTCGCAATTTCAATGAATTTATCGAGAACATCCTCGGCATAATAGGCCAGATCTCGCACTTGTCCGACCCAAGTGTCCACTGCTTCATTTGTCTCTGTTTTCTTATCAGCATTCTTTAGGAACATTTTCATACCTTTGAGTGCATCTTTGATCCACTGAATATCATCCTTCACTGCTGATAGGAGCTGCGCTTCATCTACAAGCAGTTTATCCAATTTTTGCAGCAAAAATGATACACCAGGAGCAGCCATCTCTCTCTCTAAATAACCGTAAATTGTTGCTCTCTCTGTGGACAAGTTTGCACTTTGGTTGGCTTCAAAGACTCCAACATAAACTTCTATGTTCTCCATTTTATCCCACTATCTTATGTAGCATCCATGAGTTTTCTTAGCGCATGCCAGATCAAATGGATCATAAAATATTCATGTCAACAATTAAACAAGTGATACTTGCCCAATTTCCTCCTTAATATTACCACAAACATGTTCTAGCTAATATGCTTGAGTTGACTCCATGCATAAAATATACCAAAGCTTGTGAATGCCCATTATGCCATTTTACAAATAGAAAATCCCCCCAAATATGTGCTTTGGGTGCACCATCATGTGTGAATGGTGATCGTGCTGGACCACCTATGGTTTTCCTCATTTAATTACAGGCCTCTTTAGGGGTGGCAACGGACCCGGAACTAACCCAGGAATGTAGATCGGACACGATGCGGGTCCGGATATGTGTCTAAAGATTGAAACCTGGGTCCAAATATTGGATCCGAATACTATTTGGATTCAAGTTGGTTGGGATCCATGAATAGTGTTATTATTTGAAGAGAAAATTATGTAAATATATACTATTTTTATGGTTATTACAAAAACACTTTTAAGTTTTCGTTCTTACATATATATCTATTTTTTTAATTTCGTAACATTTTTTTTAAAAAGATAGAACTGCCCTTTTAGTTTTTCAAAAATTGAAATGTTTTAAATATTCAATTTTTCAAAAACCAAAATGATTAAAATATTCAGTTTTTCAAAAACTGAAAAATAACTAAATTCAGTTTCTTGAAAAGGGAAAGGCTTTATACATCCCGTACAGCATAGAAGATCTAAGCTTCTCTTATCATCCAGCCATCTAATTTTGATCAAGACAGCTACTCACGATTTGATCTTAGATATGATATCTTAAAGTATTTTATTTTTAATCTTTTTTTTATATACAAATTGTATGGATATGAAATTTGGTACGTGCCATCTTCTCATTGAAGCGCACTCATAAAAAATGTTACAAATAAATTTTTGATAAAATATAATGACCAAAATACCCCTTAAAATTTTCAGGGGTATTTTGGTTATTTTATTTTATTAGAAATATTATTTTTATATTTTTTGCTAGTGCGAGTTTAGTAGAGGATTGAACGTACAAAATTTGGTGTCAAAATAGTTTATATAAAAAAATAGTGTAGAGACGTAATATTGTGATTGGGACAATTTTCGCCCTCCATTCATAATGGACGGTTGGATAAGAGAGTATATTTATGTCGTAGGGAAAGCATAAAAAGCTTGCCCTTTTGAAAAACCCTGATTGTCATAAGAGAACACTAGATTTTAGGGAATTCTTCATGGAGCTATTCTTGTCGCCATTAAACTCTGGTCTCCGAAGCCTTCACGATGAAACGGCCCAAGAGAACGAGATTGAAATCCTTTCAACAATCTTGGTGTGCCCATCGTGTGCATCACCCAACAAAAATATTCAATCAAGCGTCTTCCGGAAGCATCCATAGGTGGAGGTACGCTGCACGCATGCTTCTCTTACATGTTCGCTGTAATTTTCATTTGTATTTGAAAATATCTATCGCTTTTCCTTTGGATTGTTTTTTATCAATTTTCTTATGCAACTTTTCCTCTTCGTCAGCATCAAGAATATGAAGTTTGGTAACCCATTAGTGGCTTGAGTTCTTCATCCCCTCTGGAAGTCGAAGTATTCATATTTTTATGGCTTGCGATGATATCGTCTTCAATCTCGTTCTCTAAGGCCGTATCATCTTGAAGGGCACGGAGACAATAGGAAGGTCTTTTAATGGCGACAAGCTTACCTCCATGAAGAATTCCCTAAAATCTCAGATTCGATGATAAACACAATTTGTGTTTTTCAAAAACAGAATTTAGTTGCTTTCGGCTTTTAAAAACCAAAAAGGGCGTTCC